TGGTTGGTGGGCCTGATGGATAGTGCTTCAGCAGAGCTAAACAACAAAAGAAATCTGAAGCTCCTATGTTGAACAGTTTCTGAGTTACAGTTTAAGCATTTTTGCATGTCCAGACACCCCCTTTTCAGATAAAATGGGAGTCCGGGGTGTGGGGCCACTGGTTGGTGGGCCTGATGGATAGTGCTTCAGCAGAGCTAAACAACAAAAGAAATCTGAAGCTCCTATGTTTAATAGTTTTTGAGCAATAACCCTTTTGTATGTCCAGATGCCCCTTTTTTTCAGATAAATTTGGGGTTGGGGTGGGGTGGGGCACTGATTGGTGGGCCTGATGGATAGTGTTTCAGCAGAGCTAAACAACAAAAGAAATCTGAAGCTYCTATGTTGAACAATTTCTGAGTTATAAGTGTTTTTGCATGTACYGACACTCCCACTTTGAAAGGAACCCCCTCCTGAAATATGGGGTCYATCAWAAAACYGTTGGCTGGCGCAGTGTAGGTCAGACTCAACTACAGTCCTGCCAACTTTCATGTTGATCGGTGCAGCCGTTTTTGTGCTACGGTCGACCAAAAATCACTGAAGAAAAAAAATGTACAAAAACAATGACTCCCGCTTACGCTTCGCATGCGGGGGTCCTACTAAACATCATCTAATACATTCAAAGAGCACAAAAAATCACAATCTTGTCTTTATTTAATTTTTTTACAAACCCATATAATATAGTGAAAAATGCTACTAAATAAAGTTATGTATATATATTTTGAATATAAAATAACATTGACAGCAACTCCTTACAGCCTCCTTCAGTTTGTAAAGTGCATCATTATAATAAAGGCCTGTCAATGAGAACATAAACAGCTCACTATTGTACCAAGTCTGAAAACACTGATCTTTCAGGTAAGGGGACCACAGTGCTCAAAACATATTGTCAGCKAYGACAAAAACAAAWTAAAACAGTTTTTCCAAATGACTTAATTTTTTAGGTAATGTGACAATCACCTGACTAACAGCTGTTCTATAAACRAACTGCTAGAGGACAGCATCTTCTATCGCTGCCCTATTGCCTGTAAGGGACAAAAATGGATGTGAAGAGGTAGATTGTAGATGATCCACTACCCTGATAGTGTGTTAAACATAACATATAAAATATATCTACAACCCCCTTCAGTGCAGACTCACTTTATGTAGAGAATCCAAGCATGCAGGTTTACCCAATAGAGTTGAACTTAAACTAAAATAAAGTTAGAACTGAGGAGGTGGATCCATCACCTCCACAGAGGCTGAGCTGCAGTGGCTCGAGGCATTTTGGGACCAGGTATCCGTGACGTTGCCGGGCTTTTGGGGCTAGAAGGGAAGGAGCCCGCGCTCGCCGTCTTGGCGGTTTTGTTGCGAGCAGCTGAAATGACGGCGGTGCGTATGGTCTTGGCGGTGGCGGAGGACGGGCCGTGGACGGTCCGAGGCTGGGGCGGCAGCTGGGTCTCGGAGTTCGGGGCGAGCCGCTTGGACACGCGGATGGGCGCTCCTCTGACGAAGGCGGGCTGGGAGCTGCCGGAGTCCTTCTCCGGCGTGGCTCTGTCTGAAGACCTGCGAGTCAGGGCGGGTTTATCTGGACCCTGTGGCTCGCTCATGGTCTTGTCCCGCGTGCTGCTGCTTCGTTTCACCTCGGCCCGAGTGGTCGACTGAGTGGCGGGGGAACGCAGGGAAACGCTGCGAGGAATAGACAGCCGTGCAGGTGGGCTGGCAGCCGTCAGGGCTCCAATTGAAGAGTCGGTTTTAGAGCGCACCCGAGGAATGCCGGTGCTGATGGAAGGGGCTGTGCGTGACACGAACCCCCTCTTGGCCCCTATTCCACTACGCACAGGAACCCTCATTGTCTGAGTCTCCTCCTTCGACACCGARGACCCTGGAGTTGCCCCCTCTTTGAGTTCAACCTCCCTCTCCTTCCTCCACTTGGAGCACAGGCTTGGCGTGGGTCGTGGGAGTGGGGAGGTCGGGGGTGACAAGGCCTCGTAGGACCGCAGGCCTTTCACTAGAGTGTGGCACTCTAGTGTTTCTCCCACACGCGAGTATGACCTCGCTGTCTCCCTCTCAGCAGTTGGCGAGTCAGAGACCTCCTCTGGCTGTGATTGGCTGAACTCCAGCAAACCGGAGGGCATCCAGACCTCCTCCACAGGTGTCAAACCCACCTTAGTGTCTGTCTGTTCTTTTAAACTCGCCTCAGGCAAAGACTCTGCCTCACTTATCATAATAGACGGAACTCCTTTCTTCTGAGGTTGGAATGGTGCATCATCAGAGGGCGATTCTAATTTGGTCTCAGATTTAGGCTGCTTCAACAGTCCGCTCTTGTTGTTGCTGCCAGAAAGAGTTCTACGTGTTTTATTGGACTCACGGACAAAAGAGCCGTTAGTTTTACTTTGAAGAAGACAATTACTGTCCGCTMCCGACAGGCCCAACCTGTGCCTGTGAGCGGAGACTTGGCTTTTATCACACTGGGCTGGTGTGTCAGTATTTTTAGCAGCGGAGTCTGTACTGGAACCGTTCAACGCCATGTGTTCTAGAGAAAAAGTGGCCTCTTTTTGAATTTCAGTTGTCTTCTGTTCACCTTGTAGCCTGTAGGAAACACTCTCAGGCCCATGTTGTTTCGCTGCGAAGCGATTTTCATGAGGACAGGATCTAAGAGGTTCAATGTGTGAGTCTGTAACTGCTTCCACGCTCGTGTTTGTCACTTTTCTCCCTCCGTCCAGAACAGAGTCCTCCCGGTCGACGGGAGAGCAGGCACCATCGGTTCCTGGGGAGCTGCAAAGCCCAGCGCGGGTCTCGTGGCCAGACGAGCCGTCCGGGTGACAGCTGACGGACGTGGGGCTGCTGCCCAGCACGGGGAAGCTCTCGATCGCGGGCGAGCCGTAGGCGTGGGCGTCGCTTTGGAGGGGGTGCGCGAATCGGCGCGKGTCACAGCTCCTAAGGCTTCGACGGCTCCAAGCGCTGCTCAGGTTCTTCTCCAAAAGCCGCTCCAGCTCATCTTGGTTCTCCTGACAGCGAGGCTCCCTGGCGAGGCTCAGACCCAGGTCCAGCCCCGTGCACGCAGCCACAGAACGACGCTTTTCCACCACCTCACGCTGACGTTCCAGACGTTTCTGCTCCTTAAGCTCCCGCTCTTCGTTTTCCTATTTAAAAACATTCAAGGAAAGAAAAAAAAAGAGAAATAGTGGTCATTTTAAAGCGCCCATCAGTGCAAGTAAAGTTGCGCATTTTTTGATTTGTAGCTCTGAACCTGGACAGCTCTTTGGAAGCGAAGGCAAAACAAATGGAAAGTGCTGCAGGCCTCCTCCAGTTTGAAAGTGCTGTCGTCTTCACACAGGAACTCCATCAGAGCCTGACTCGACATCCTCATACCCTCCACCTCATCGTCCGCCTCCTTCAGGCGTCCTTCGGCTGTCTGCGAACAAAACAAACCTGCTGAATTTCGGTTACTTCCGACTTCCTCCGCGAGGCCGTTTTCAGACTGCGCCGTCTACCTCCAGAAATAACTGYGCCTGCTGCAGAATCTCCGCTTCAGTCTGTATATTCGCCCTGAGGGCAGCCACTCTGCTTTTTAACTTCGCCAAGTCATCCAGCACCGCCTCCTCGCACAACCTGCCGAGATACACAGTTATAATTAACATGGGTATAAAACAGATGTGCAATCCTCCCGAAGAAAAAGGTTGCATGACAAAAAGCAAACAGCAGGCTGTAAATAGCAAACAGGTGAATGTACATAAGCCGAACATGTAAGGGCAGTCGTTACTTGGCACCTTYCTTTGGGTGAGAGTCAAACAGTAGCAACATAAAACTCCTCAGCAGCTCAGAGACTGTGTACGAAATATCGGAGCTGCAAGATCCAAAATGTGAGAAGAGACTGACCTGGAGGCGGAGCCAACGTGGCCTAGTTGGCTGGGAAATGACAGTAAGCTCTGGTCTTTTTTCACTGCTTCCTGCAGAGACAAACACAATAGATTATCCAGTTATTGTCTCAAAAGAAGCAACACGTTTGATGAAAAAAATGTCTTGCTTTGAGGATCTGCATCAGCTACTTTTCTGCTCTTTGCAGAACCTGAAACACCATGCAAAAACTTAAGAGTCCTTTAAATATCTGCATTTCAAAAGCTCAGACACATAATATTATAAAATTGGAGACTTATTAATAAAAATTGGAAGTAGCAGAGTGAAAAGAGAAACCTGATAAGTTTCGGTAAATGCATTATTTTAAATAACCAGTAGGGGGTATGCTTTTTTTTATATATATATAAATTTGGTCTTATTTTTAGTTTGAAAACAAAGAGATGAAAAAAAAAATCCAGAAGTCAACCTGACTGAAATTCTGGTGGGAGCTAAGAAGAGTTGTGCAGAAATTAATGTCTGCAAACCTAAATGAAGTGAATAACGTAAAAAAAGAAAAAGAAAAAAGAACGGGCCACAATTCCTCCACAACCACGTGAGAAACTAATAAATTCATAAAGAAAACTATGCCAAGTTATTGCTGCTAAAGGAGGTTCTTCAAGCTGTCATGGGGTGTACATCGAACGTTCCTTTGTTTTTTTTTTGTTTTTTTGTGTGTGTTTCTTTTAGCAAATAATACATTTTTACACAACATTTCAGAACTTACCATGGCAACAAAATGCAGCAGATTCATCCCCGGCTTGTTGGCTTTGGTGTCAGCCAGTTTGAGCAGCGATGAGATTCGAAAGCCAGCTGCATTCCCCGCATATCCACCCTGAGAAACCGTGCACAATATAACACACAGAAGACAGCTTTAAACAAACAATCAGTCAAAGTGCAGGTACAAGGCCGGARGGACGACCCTGAGCGCAAACTCCAAATCAACTTCCAACTGAAAGCAYAGACGGATAAATCAAATCTGCGTTTTCAGACTCAGAAGAAAAGACGAAAATGGTAATTATAACATTTAGGGAGGACTCACAGCATTCATGTAGTTCCCTGCTTTCAGCACCAAACGGAGGATGGAGTGTAATTCTGGACAGCTCAGTAATTCTAGGAGAATAAAGGGAGAACGTGTTGTGCCTGAAGCTTCAAATAATGAAAATACATTTGAACAAAGCTGACACCATCTAAAAATATAAATTTAGCACAAAAWGTAAGAACATTTGTGTTTGGTAGGCTATTTCTTTGTTGTAACAATGATTCTTGGGAAAAAAAATCTTATATCATTGGAAAGTCTGTTAAATTTCCTTTTAAATGGGGCCACGTTTGTAGGGAACATGCATTTGTGGCATGAGCCGTAGAGCTGAGTGTGTGGGTTGTGCACATGAAAAATTAGCAAAATCATTTTTGTCATTGTCAAACAGCTAACGTTTGTTGTTGTTTTGAGCTTCCGCTACCCTCAGGTGCTGCCAATCAGGTGCCTGGTGAAAAAACTGCCAAGAAGCATTGTTACAACAACAAARTAATCCTMCAAACACAAATATCCTAACTTTTTGTGCCACATTGCAGCTTTTCGCGAGCTACTAAGTTAGCGTAAATGTTAGCTTATCTCATTTCCATTCTGGCGCCCGACACCACCCAAGAATAAACAAAAGAATTTTAACTGGTCAACAAAGTCCCAGGTCTTAATGGCCGTGGAGTACACAACTCCCCGCTGTTACTTTACCTCTGGCCGCCTCCCTTAGACATCTGGCTGCCACACACAAAGAGGTCAGAGCCGGGTCAAACTCTTGTTGCAGGATCATGGCATCCAGCCGAAGACGAAAACTGATGAAAGAAAAACCGAGTGAGACGGACTGATCAGCAGGGATGCTTTGAGTGATGACGACGACTAAAAKACACTTGAGATCAGTCTCTTGTTAAATAAACATGCCCCACAAAGTGAAGAAGGACGTTGTTACAAGAAAAAAAATATGTTAAAAAAGTTTAAGAGAAAAACAAAGGTTTTTTTAAGGAATATTCCGTATCTTTTTTCCCCTTTTTGGGGGCTAAGGAGGGATGTACCTAGGGACTTCCACCAACAGCAGCATGAACAGATCAGGCTCTCCAAGGCAGCTCCTTTCTTCACTGAACTTCCTCAGGCGAGATTCCTGAGAGAGAGAGAGAAAAAGAGCCATAAAAATGCATAAAAAACAGCAACTTTTGTTCAAAGATTAAAAAACACAACACGATGTGGAAAGAGTCAATTTCAATTTACTTGCACGTGATTTGTGTCTAGAAACAGAACACACCATACAACATAATGACAAGTTTTTGATTATCTTAATCAAAACCTGATGAGTAACAGAAACAGGGAAGGGTAGAGAAGAGGAAAAACCTTGTTGATTTCATAGTTACACACCCAAAAAAAAAAAAAAAAAAAAAAAAAAAAAGATTATCACCTCCTCATTATCAGGCAGCAATTTGCAGAGCTCCGAAAGCTTCTCTGCTCCGTATCGATCTCCGGTTCCATGTCTGATATCCTCAACTATCTCCTTAGCAGGCCTGTGAAAATACACCCATTTGTTTTAGCATGACAGCAACAGGGATAAATCCCAGAGCTCACGGGATGAATAAAAGGCAAAGATGCACGGACGATGTTTGGAAGGCTTTCAGTTTACCAGGTACTCCGGTTTCCCCCCACCACTAAAAACATGTACAATAGGTYACCTTCTGGCCCAGGCCTCCCTTGAAAAAGAGATCTGAGATCTCAACGGGACTTGCCTGGTTAAATAACGTTAAATAAATAAATTTGAAGCAGGACCGCACAATATAAGAAAAAAACATGTGATAAGAATTTTATTGTTGAATATTGGATTACAATATCAGTCACGATAGGCCCATGTTTCCTTCACTTCCTTCCACATTTTTTTCTGAAGGCCCTTAACTCCTCTCTGTGTGCTTYAGCATTTTGGTCTAAACTGTCCGAAGGCATTCGTAGCTCATCATTTACGTCAATATTTTGTCATTTGACACCGGTGGTTCATACACGTCATCTTGTACTGATTGTGCATAAATTACACATATTTCCCATTTTGCAGGTGTAGTGAAATATAGAGAAGTCTCACGGATATTTTTTTTAAATCTCCTGAATTTTTTTTTTTACTTCAAATTTATTTTACGTCTCAGAGCCTGTAAGACGTAAAATAATCACTAAATAAAATAAAATATCCACGCTCGGTTCAGCCTCAGCCAAACGTGCCTCCATTTCCAGTTCTAACCACGCTTTCAGTGCCACCTCCAAAGTGGTTAGGACAAATTGGCTGCTCACTGTTACACACACACTTATAAACAGTGCTGTGCCCAAAAAAAMRTCAGACTGTTAAACCATAAAACCATAACGACTTTTTTTTTCTTTTTCCTTTTTCACCCCAACGGCTAAGTCGCGTGCTGACGATACGCCCACAATCACGCCCACAGAGCGAGGGACATACTGACATGGAGACACACACACCTGAGCAGAACTGAATAGACATGAACTGAATAGAGTCAAACTTGAGCTTTAGAGTGGTTAAACACATCTAAAGGAGCCAGGAAATAAATCGTTTTCTGAAGAACTTCTTATCCAAACGGAAACACTTTCCGAGAACAAAATACCGAACGCAACGGTGCACAAAGGCCCCCCCGAAATGAAATGATTTTTTTTTGTAAGTCTCCACTCAGACAGTGAAAACAAAAAAACTGGATYTTGTTTAAACTACGGCCGCATTTAAAAGCAGTCGCCGTGTCACATTTGACAGAAGAGCAAACAAGCTTGCCGACAAGACAAATGTTTGTGTACAGAAGAGTCTCTTTTCACATAAAGGCTTTCCCTGCAAGTCTCAACAAATCTAGTCTGGAAAAAAAGAAACGAGCAGAAAGTCTCATGATGGCAGGGTTTTGAAACCCGGGACTTTTGTGTTTCTCGAYTCTTTATGAAGCCAACTTTGCATGATGTCAAACACAAATGAGTCAAAGGTTMAATAAAGGCTGCGTAAATTAGCCTTAATGGTTAGAAAACAGCTCCTTTTCATAACAATAAACACAGCTTTGTTTGAACTATACAAGCTAAAGAGGCTTCGAGGGATTTCTGAATATGACAAGCCACCGGTGGGGTCTCTCATCATGGGGGGTTGGCTTTAAGGTTACCCATTCTTTATGGGTGTCAGCAGGTGTCAACTCTGAAACGTAAAGAGCCACTCACTCATCACCCAGCTGTTCAGGCTGCAACCTCCCCTACAAACACCAGACATCCCCTCTTTTATTGGGACTTAGCACTTCTGATGCTGAACCACATTTGACATTTGGCTCTTTTTAAACGTTCAGCTTAATGGAAGCACTCTGGTCCACTGGTCACAATTGTGTATGAGCTTTGACTGTAYGTCTTGACTGATTTGGACAAAAAGCCTAAAGCCATTAGGGGGAACAAAACCCTTGGAAACATGGCAGCTGCTCTTGATTACTTCCCAAGGTAATTGCTTCATTTAATAGAAGGTCAAAACACGAATAAACTTTTGTAAAACCAGGTTTAAAGTCAAAAAAATGTCAAAACTTTAGAAGTGTTTAAATGACAATGAACTAATTATGCTTCACCTCTGATAAGTGTGAAACATTGGATAGTTTAATTGGCCAGTCATGCCAAAACTAATAAGGAATTAAGAAGCTCACATTTTAAATTGGCGCAGAAATATCCCAATATTCATACTTCGTTTGGAATCCAACAGGGAAATCTGCAAAAGAAGCAAAGAACACATAGATGTAAAGGRATGAAAATGGAAAACATGTTGCTTGTGCCATTCCGATGGTCTGACCTCCTCAGGGCTATATTGTGGACATCTGCAGTGTAGCATTGCAGGCCGCCGCCTCACGGTGCCTATTTGGACCCTGGGCTTGCTGTCCTTCTGACCAAACAGCTCATCCAGAGAATGGAGGTCTATGGGGAACTCGTCCTCACCGGGAGCAGCCCCGTTCCACACGCTCTTCCTCCCCTCCACCTTCTCTTTGGGGATGCGCTCCCAGTTCAGCTTCCTCAGCCGACCCTGACAGGCACTCTTCGCCCGGCCGAAAGGCGAGGWGGTCGCAGGCGGAGGTGGAGGCGGGGGAGGCGGGGGCGGCGGAGGGGCAGCCAGGGCGCGACGCGGCTCCATGGCTGACCCTTCCACGGCGTCGGGGGTTACGGTGCTATCGGCCGGCGTGGTTCCATGAAAGGCGGGGGATTCCTTGATGGCCACAGTCAAGCTGATGTGCATAAAGGCTGTTGGTTTGTTGAAAGGACGGGGTGACGGCAGGTTAGCAGGATCTGCTGCAGCAACGTCTTTATCCAGTGCRCCTCCAATTGGTCAAAGGCTGAGCACTAAACCTAAAACACAAAACAACAAAACAACGTCATCTTGGGCTGATAAGGAAATTGTCGCTAACTGGACTTTGCAACAGCGTCCCCGACAGCGTCTCACCTGACACCTTTCATTGACTTCACTGTTCAAAATGTCTCTTTATTCATTAAAAGGCTCAGCATTTCTTCAACCAGTTTGTTTTGTTTCAACCATGTAAATTATGCTACRTTGCTATCTTATGCAATATTGTGAGATCTTATAAAGTGAGTGACTTTCAACTCTAAAACTTGAGCTAAATACATCTGTAAACTGAGTTGGGTGTAATAGTTCTTGTGTTTTCCAATGTGGTGACCATCTTGAATGTGTTTAGTTCCCAATGTTTATCAGCTGTAGAGGTGCTCATTGGTTACTTTCTGAGAGTGTCATCCATCCACAGGTGGTTCACAAGAAATTTTGCTATGGGCAAAAACTGCTTTCAGTAGAGGGTACAATTCCCACCAATGGTTCAACATTCACTGGAAAATCAAGGAGTTTTAAAGAAAAGTACAAGGCAGAGTTCCCCACATATGTGGTTTGTTTGAACAGCCAGTCTCATCCTGTTCAGTTTCACCTCAATGCACACACCTACAACCATACTTTTCCCATTCTAATTATGAAAACTGTAAACACCAAAGGCATGGGGAGTTGCACGTTAACCACAAAGCTGAGAAATGAATGGTCTGCATCTTCACAGAACTTGAACTATTCCCTCCTCCTCATCTGGAGTTCAGAGCGTCTTACAGTAAATGTGGCTGAACTTATTGCACCGACACGTTTAAACTCTGAGTCAGCGTTCACAATTTTGTTTTCTGTTTCTAGTTTACATTTGTTCAGTTAGTTTAGCAGATATCCAAATGTTCAGCTTGTTCCAAAAATGATGACTACAACGTTTAGCATTTTAACTTTCACAMATTTTGAATTAATTTTACTTGATTTGCAACGACTCTTTGAATTCTCTTTCACCATACTTGATTTGTTTTTAGCTTTTACCTACTGTTTTGTTAATTTAACTTTTAGCATGTTTTGTTAGTTTTAGCTTTTAGCTAATGTTTTACTAGTTTAACTATTTGCTTTGAGCTTTAGTTTTGCTTATGTTAGCTTTTAGCTAACATTTAGCTAACTGTATCCTTTAGTTACTGTTCTGCTGTATTTGCTATTAGGTATGGTTTAGATCAGTGGTTCCCAAACTTTTTATCTTCTGACCCACAAAATATTCATGGCAAAAACTTGTGACCCCAAATATTACTGGTCTGAGTACACAAGCTTTGTTAATAACCCTAAAAACACAGGCTTTTTGACAATCTAAACAGCTTGTACACAAATATAAATACTTATTTATACTTATTTTATGTTTTTTGTAATAGTTATAGGGAAAATATTACATCAGCAATTATTTTATTACCCTTTAAATTGATTTCTGGAGATTATCCAAGGTGCTTCATGACCCATAATTGGGTCCCAAGCCCAACTTTGGGAACCAAAGTGCAGTGCTTCCCAAACTTTTCCGATTTTAACCCACAATATATAGTAGCAGAGACCTGTGCCACCAATGATAAACATTTGAATCAGGTCAACAAAACATGGGCATGGTAACAATATTTTTATACTACATTTATCCATTTTAAATATGTCAACCTCACTCCTTTGTAACAACTAGGGCAAAAATGTAATTAATTCAGAAAATCTTTTCAGGACCCCACCTTGATGTTTCGGGACCCCACTTGGGTCCTGACCCCAACTTTGGGAAACACTGGTTTAGATAAACTGTTTTGCATTTTTATTTTAGCTATTGCTTTGCCAATATTTGCTTTCAGCTTCAGCTATGAGCATTTTTTGTGCCAATTTTAGCTTTTAGTTCACTTCAGCTTTTGTTCTGGTGCTTCTAATTTAAATAATTCAGTTCTTTACAACAAATGACAGGAAAGTCGTTCAGCATCACAGTTTTCCAGTTAGTTGAGCATTTTGAGATCATGTTTTCAGCTTAAATCGGATCATTTCCAGGGATTTGTCCCTAAATTTGGCCCAAACACATCTTCTCGCCCATTCTAGTCTAGTTTGCGTGAGTCATAAACACTGGAGGACCTACARGGATGCGCCTGATGGTCGAGCTGTTCCCAGACGATCCACAGGAGCGCGCTAAAAAAATTAAATAATAATTTTAAAAAAAGTCCATAGAGCCTCCATCAACATGAGAATTTACCTTATAAAGGTGGAAAACACTTTTATTGAATCCTACTAGGAACTCTTTATAGAAATAAAGGAATCTTTATGAAACTTTTAGATAGCGCAATGATTTCAGCTTTTCAGAAAACATTTAAAAACACAACTTCTTCATCTTTTTCATGTTAATATATCTGATGTTTGATACACATAATCTCATCAACTGAGAAACTTAAGTTGTAAAACTGGTAAAAYAATCACTAGTTAAAGCTAATAAAAGTTTTAATCGTTTTTCTCACTCTCTCTGATTCAAATCTAAACAGACTYACCTGTCACTGACGGCCACAGTTTCTTCACACAAATGAGCATTTAAAAAAAAAAACTCCAATAAAAGCGTTAAACTTGATCCCACCGCCTCTAAAAGTTTGTTTTATTTCTGTTTCGGCAGATTTGTTTCAGCCCTGCGCTCTGTCTCTCTGCACTTTATTCTCCTCTCAACTAAACTTCCACACACGCCTCTCGCCWCGAACGCGCATGCGCGCGCCCCCTCGCTGATGTCCTCCCAGTTTTCCCAGGGGCGGTGTGGGAGAGTTTCAGGTGGTCCAAAACACCGGCTTTGGTCAACTTTATTCATCATTTGTACTTCGTGAATGTTTATTATTCACAATTAATGAAAAATAATTATTTTAACATTATTAAACCTCTTTAAAAAGCAGCGGGTGATAATGTACCAGCATTTTTTTTCATCGATTTTTATTGGTATCAGGACACTACCAATAAAAAGTTACTACAGCTCAATCAGTTTTACAGGTTTTGGTGTATAATTTGATGAGGTGGTAGCTGAGAGACATTTAAGAGTGTAATTTCTCACCAAATCGCAAACATTTTCAAAAAAAATTTTTTTTTTTACTAAATCTGTGATAATTCTGTTATTTCTCAGCACGGGATGATCTTTTAAAACTCTTTAAAGGCAGTGTGTGGCAAGATCTCTAT